TTCATGAAAGTGTTATTTGACGATATGATTCAGGTTCATCTACACCAGTCTTAACCTTAACCAATTTACAACCAAATGAAAAGTATGGCCCGTATGAATTTCGATTGGATGTGATTGATGGAAGTGGGCAGAAGGATTCGGCGACAGTCAGTATACTCGTCAATAAGGCTGTCAATCATCCACCGAGTTCGTCGTTCACTCTGAACTTTAATATTCTGTGGTTTCATTACAGAGTCGTATGCAGGAGGTAATAAGGATATTGTTACAGAGCCGAATGCAGGAGGTAATCAAACGGTACAGTTGCCAGTGACATCAATTGTGTTGGATGGTAACGTGAACGATGATGGTGAGATTGTGAAATATGAATGGACACAAATCAGGTATTTGATTGATTCAGTAAATCATTTCGATTGATCTCTGAATACATGTATCTAGTTATTGATCCGAGTGAATATGATCAGTGACGTGTTGTGTGATTGATCGACTGATTCGAGTATGTTGCAGTGGTCCGAGTCAGGTAGTGATTGTGAACGGTGATAAATCCAAGTGTACAGTATCATCACTCGAAGAGGGTGTATACCGCTTTCGGTTGAATGTTACTGATGACGGAGGTCTGAGTGGTGTTGATGAAACGTTCGTGTCTGTTGTTCGAAGTTTGTTTATGATCATACTTGAGTTAATTATTGCATTACAGCTGTATTCGTGCGTGTTCATCACTTCTGTCTGTTTTACAGCAGAGTAAACGAAAATTGTCTTCTTTCCATCTGCATTTAATGAATTATCAACCAAATTTACTAACTACTTTATCACGTACACTGATCATAAAATAACAGTGGTAATGTTCAATTGCAGGCAAGAACGAACCACCCGTGGCACGTGCACACAACGTCACCGTTTATCTTCCATCAAATCTGGCAATATTGAATGGCAGCGAATCATCTGATGACGCTGGTATCGTTAGATACAAGTGGACTGCTCATGATGATGTCCCCTCATCTATTGTATCTTCTTTATTCTCATTCCATCCCACTTCTTCAAATTCGTCCATTTCTTATTTCTGTTGTCTGACTGAATGTTTCGAATCAATTTATTTTGTAGGTCTTCCTTGGTGATTCTTCCGAGGAACCAATAGCGATGATAGGTGGATTGCTACCAGGAATGTTTTATTTTGATCTTACAGTATTCGATCATTCGGATGCACAAAACTCCATCACTGTTTCATTGAACGTTATTGCTGGTGAGTTGGTGCTCGGAGCTTGTTCAATCATTCAGTTTTGCTATTGTTCGTTTATCATTTTCGGAATGAGACGTTCTGAAGATTCGGTTNTCAACGGTGTGATGCCATATCGATTACGCAATAAGTTTGAAGGACGTTTAGCGACAGTTTTGGCTGTTCAGGTTCATTCCTTGAATATCATTGTAGAATTTTTACTCCTACTTAAGTGCCATTTTGATAATACATTTATCAATTAACATTGAATAAGCATCACATATTCTTGTATTGAATGCCAAATAGCAACTGATCTTCGTGGCATTCTACAGATTCCTGAAGCGATGAACGTCAACGTCCATTTCTCTGAATTCGCACACGATCCAACCACTGGACGACTACGAATCGTCTTCTACGCTAATTTCTCAAATTCTACTCAATCTGGTATGCATCATTCATTGCACGCCTTCTCATTCATTTAACTCGTTCGCATGTGACAACTTATTTCATTTCCACTAGCAGTAATAAACATTTCTGTTCAAATGCCGTGCAATGTTCCTGTAACAACTATCGAATTTCCAGGTGTTTCTAGTGATACCGCTGATAAGAATGTTCGGAGTGTTCCCACAAATGTGGTTTCAGCAATTAGGGCCGTTAAAATTTTGCGTAATGAAGAGAATATGATAAATGATTTCAACATATATTCTATCAATACACTTTGTGAGTTCTTTCTTTCAAGTAGAAATTTATCATATTTATGATATTAACATTGAAATCTTTTTTCTAGATGAACGATTTAAAAAGTATTGATATGAAACTAATAGTAAGTAAACGTATATGAAATACATTTGGAAGAGAATGAAAACTCTGCAAATGGAATGATACTTTAGAAGAGAGAAACAACGTCAGTTATGATCCTTCTTTAACACTGCGTACATTCATTCACTTGTGCACAAAAATCATTCTGAGTTTGAGTTATTTTATTATGTTTAGAATGAGCTCATCTCAGTTTTATCTTGTACTATTGGTCATATTTTAGTATCGTTTTGATGTGTTGTTTGGAATATCTGTTTAATATTGTCAACTAAATTCGAGCCTTAGATTGTATGTTGGATTGTTCTGGTCATGGTCGATGCAGTAATTATTCGAAACAGTGCGAATGCGATCGGTATTGGATGCCGAATCTATTCAACTACTGGTTGAAGGCATCGAAACTGGACTGTTGTTAGCAAATTCAGTCACTGATTCTTTCTTTTTCTCATAACCGTTGTTTGACACTCATCAAAAATTAGTTATATGAGTGAAGCAGTTTGTTGGTTTGCTTGCGTTGAATGGCATCAGTGAATTTTTCTGTAGGAGTTTATTTTATTGCAGCGTGGTCAGTTGTTTATTTTGGTATATGCGTATTCACCGTTTCATTGCTGTTTACAATATTTGTGAGAGTGCATTTTAATCGTCGCAGTGAATTGCAACTATCCAATTGGAATATGAGCAAACATGGTGAGTGAACATATGAATTGATCTATACAAAATGTATCAGTTGATTTTGAAAATATCAGCTGTGTTTATGCATCGCATTTCGTTGAAAGGTTTCGTGATTGGTATTATGGTTAGTGCATGGATAATTCAGTTTCGCTTGGGGAGAGAACTGTCGTTGATTGCAGGTGCTTTGTCGCGTCGAAAGAAGCGTAGAAGGTTCAGGAGAAATGACGATGAGTCGCATACAGATGGCACGTTGAATGCACCTTCGAAATGTTCGTTTCTTTTGTTTTGTTTCGTATTTGAGAAGTGAAATAAATTCTCTCACCGATATTTCAAATTTCTTTTTGAAAACATCCCTTCTATTAACAATAATGTTGGTGTGTAGAAATGAATGGTTTTTTGCAGTGAAAGATAAGAACGGGTCGTATTCATTGCTGATGACATCAGACTCGATCAGCTCTGAGAGTGAATGTGAGTTCGCTGTGAGAAATGGGAACAAGAGAGGTTCGCCGAACGAACCAGATGATGAGGTAGAGCTTCGTGAAAGGACGAACTTACCGAATGTGAGTGTGCAGTGAATCGATTCATTTGCTGTTTATTATGTTTGACACTGAAGAATGAAATGGGTATTGAAAATTGATTGGTGAAGATGAATTCAGTTGTGATCACCTAAGAAGGGTATTTCAGTTGAATTGAATTAACACGAGGGATATTCAATCTGTGCTCTCTGATGGTCACTTCGTTCGAACATATTCATCGCGTCAGTTGAACGCTCAAAATGAACAAACAAGTGAAGTGATTGTTGGGATTTCATGCCGCATCTTCCATTCTATTGTATTAATGAATTTCCACGAACTTGTTTAATTGGCCATATACACTGTAAATTTATAACGAAATTATTTATTCGTCGTGTTAACTTTTCACAAATCATATCTCGTCCCTTCCATGCTCACTATTTAAGAAAAGTCTTTGAATGTATTTTTCCACAACTGGAGGTTCCTCTATAGCTCGAAATATCATTCTAAAATGACATTATTGTTTTGATTGCGTTGATTTGCTCCACGTTGCGTGATGCATGAATTCGAGAATGCATTCACTTCTAAGCCACTGCAGTGCGCAATTAAAGCATCTTCAGTTGTGCGGATACTATGTATCTTGTGCTTATGAAACTTATCCAGCCAGTTAACACCGAGTCTCTAAATAATGTTCATTTTGAATATTTCCTCTTTCCACACATTCATTCCGTCAGTATACATAAATATTTTGTCATTTATTGCTGTCTTCTCCGTTCTGTTTATATTTTACGTCGTTCGTTGAGTTGTATCATTTCTTGGAGAACCGTATACCAGCAAGAATCATTTGAACTGTTGAATCGTTCTTAAAAAATCGTTCAGTTTTTCATTTTCATCTCTCTAACGATAATAATTCTTGCAAACATTTCTGTAATATAATTTAACCACAAAACGTGTGACTTAAGATATGAGAAATTATTACTCATATTGTAGTAAGTTGATTCTCTTGATACTCCTCATCGTTTCTGATTATCCGTTAGAATGATATTTATAAGTTTACTAACCATCCGTGTAAACCAATAATTTTTTTATTTTGCTTTTTTATTAAGTATTCAAGGAAATTGCTAGGTTTTCTGCATGCACATTCGAACAGTTATGATATTGAACTGTATTTGTTTCTGTAAATATTTATAAGTTTACTAACCATCCGTGTAAACCAATAATTTTTTTATTTTGCTTTTTTATTAAGTATTCAAGGAAATTGCTAGGTTTTCTGCATGCACATTTGAACAATTATGATATTGAACTGTATTTGTTTCTGTAATTGATATGAACGGTGATCTAATGTGTAATGTCGTTGTCGTATAAGGCAACAGCTCTTTGACGGGTGAGTGAATTCGTTGTTCTGTATGAATCTTTCACAATTTCAGTCACGTTTCCGTTTGTTGATCATTCTTTATTTGCTGTGATATCGCTTTATTTTGTATCGGTTAGTTTATATATCTTGATTCACTTACTTCATTCAGATATCTGTCATTCGCCGCTGCTCTTATTTGGCGACACAAAATCATCAGACGTCCTTTTGCTAGTTCTCAATTATTCTTCACTTTATTTCACCTTCTGCTTGGTTGTCGTTCCTCCTCTATCCACTCGAAAACTTTACTCAAATACCTATCTCGGTCATTGTTCAGCGCTTTATCTCGAAATCAGGATCATCACTGTTATTATTATTATTATCTTTAAGAATTACTATTGATTATTATCTTGAATATAATTAATAATGTTATTGATATGATTATGGTTGCTATTATTCAATTATTTTCTTCGTTTTTATAGTTTGTTCGTCAGAAATGTAATAGTACAGTCAGTATTCATTGTAAATAAATTTTTATCTGTTGTGGTTGTTGAGTGTTTACAACGCAAAGCCGTTAATAAAGCGCTAACTGACATGTTTATGTATTTTGAATAATTCTCTGACATTGAAATGAATTGTAAACGAATGACTGACTGGTGCAT